GCGGGAGTGTAGACTGGAACAGAATTTAAAATCAGAAGGCAATTTGGTGATCTTTATATCAAAAGCATTAAAATATGCATATCCTTTAACAAGAAATCCTTGTTTCTTGAATGAAGGAGGGGCAGAGGCAACAAAACCATGAAAATAGATAAGAACTTTCTGGAAGAAGTATGAAGCAAGAAACCCAAATGCACCCTCTCCCCTCCTCCTTCCAGGTCTAAAGTCTGAACATCATGCTGGCGAAAGCTGGGAAAAGAAGGAAGCTGAACTGCGCGGGCCACTAGGCCTCAGGGACCCTTCCCAAGCACAGCTGAGGACCATTCGTGGAAATAAAGTTCTGAGAACCTACAGAGAAGCCCCTTGTACAGCCCAGGAGATGCTGGGGAGAACAAGGTAGAAGCCCTGATGTCAGCTCTCCAGATGTCTTGTCGCGATGGTAACAGTGACTCCAAGTGGGTCAGGTGAACTGCTGTGCTTTCTACTCTCCATCATGACAGAAAGGACGTGGACACAAAGCTGACCGGCTCGACCGGGCTGTGATCTGGGGACTGCCTTCTCTTTAACAGCAAAGCTGCAGAGACGTTACTGAGAGTTCTCTTAGCCCTACACTCAGCCTGCCTGCAGTTAACACCTTCGGTCACTGCGGAACACTCGTCACAACTGAGGAACCAACAGAGGTGTGCTACTATCACTGCAAGGAGCGCCAACCAGCCCACCCTACAGGAGATCAGGCCTGGTGTTCACTGGGAGGACTGATGCTGAAGCACCAATACTCTGGCCACCTGATGCGAAGAGCCGACTCATTGGAAAAGACCCTGATGCTGGGAAAGAAAGGCGGGAGGGGAAGGGGACGAGAGAGGATGAGATGGTTGCAGGCATCACTGACTCAATGGACATGAGTTTGAGCAAGCTCTGGGCGTTGGTGATGGACAGGGAGGCCTGGCTTGCTTCAGTCCACGGGGTCACAGAGTCGGACCTGACTGAGCGACTGAACTGAACTGAACTACACACATTATTCCTATTTCACTAGTTTTCCCCTAATGTCTTTTTCCTGTTCCAGGAAACTACCCTTAGCCATGCCTGACTCTCTGCGATCCCAAGGACTATAGCCCGCCAGGCTCCTCTGTCCGTGGGATTCTCCAGGCAAGAACACTGGAGTGGGTTGCCATTTCCTTCTCCAGGGGATCTTCCCGACCCAGGGATCGAACCTGCGTCTCTTATGTCTCCTGCATTGGCAGGCAGGTTCTTTACCACCTGTGCCCCGTGGGAAGCCCAGGAACCTATCCAAGAGATCCCATGTCCTTGTGGCCTCCCCTGACCTGTAGCAGCTTTTCTCAGACTTGCCTTGTTTTTGATGACCTAACAGCTGTAAACCCAGCTGATCGGGTATTCTGAAGGATGTCTCCACCCCCTCCCCCCTGGGGACAAGACCCTGCCTGGCACCTTTCTCTGACTGCACTGGAGTTACCGATGTTGAGGAGGAGGACAAGGGTGGAGTGACAATTTCTCGCCGTTGTATGGAAGGTGCGTGCTGTCAGCGTCACATCACAGACGGTGTTAGCTTTGATCACCTGGCCAAGGTAGCAACCGCCAGGCTTTCTCACCAGAAACTTCCTTTTCCACCCCCATTTCCAGACACTGCTCTTTGGAAATAAGTCACCAAGTGCAGCCACTCAAAAGGTAGGGAGTTAAAACTCCAATTCCTTGAACAGACAAATATCTACATAAATTATTTACAATTCTTCCATAAGGGAAATTTGTCTCTACTCTCATTTGAGCATTTATTTATATGCTCAAATATAAATATATTTGATTTATATAGTCCACTACATAGTCCACCATGAATCCATTATAGTGTGAATCCATACATACGGATTTCATATTTGGGGTTAAAACCCCGATGCTATGCTACGTATTTCTTGTTTGAGTTGTCTCAGCTTTGGCTACTGGGGCAAATTCGGGTAGACCTACGACATCCTTGTTTTCTGAACACTTCCTTAACCTTCTGCTTTTCCGTATTTTTATCAGTGAGATGCCTTACTTAAGAGCTGTTAGGGGGTGAACTGTGTATTCAACCCCCACCCCACAGAAAAGTTTCACGTTAAAGTCTTGGTTACGAGCACCTCAAAACATGACCCCATTTGGGAACAGAGTCATTGGAGACATAATGAGTGCATCATACTGAAAAGGGTGTCCCTGAATCCAGGATAACTGATGTCCTTACAAAAAGGGGAGACGTGGACACAGCACACGGCAAGGACAAGGCGCACGACCCTGAAGATGAAGGCAGAGGTCAGGGCGATGCTTCTCACAAGCACCCGAACGCGGACCCTGGAAAACAGAGGCACGACGCACGGCGTGGCGAGATTCAGCACTCTATCTGGACGTGGGCAAGGTTGGGGGGGCAGTGCTTTCAGATCCTTCGTCCTCCCTGCAGTTTCCAGCCCCCTGCCGCTCGCTGCAGGGCACCCCTTGCCCAGCGCACCTCTGAGTCTGAGCGGTAACTGCCCGTCTAGCGCAGTCACCACTTCAGATGCTGAGGACCAGCTCCGGGAGATCCAGGTGCTTCCCAGGTCCCCTGCGTCACAGAGGACCCAGCCAGACCGCGTCAAGCCATCACGGGTGGCCCCTGTTTAACCACTTGCTTTGTCCCTCTTGCATCTTTCCCAAGTCACATCCGCAAGTGGCCCAAGGCTTTAAAACGGAACCGAACACGTCTCCGTCAGCTGTACAGATACCGTCCAACCATCCAGCACTTTGGACCCTTAGTACAACCTTCCACACTAGAGGACAGCGAAGCCAGCTCGTAGCTTTCAGATGAAGGGACCGCAGTCCCCAGGAAAGAGAAAGTGACTTGTTAAGTGACAGTTAAGAAAGTGACAGTTAAGACAGGGAAGAGGCAGTCTAGAACCTGGTATGTCTTCTCACCCCACATCCAGGAACCTTTATGAAGGTGAAATCTAAGCCCTGGCATGGGTAGAGATGGAAACTTTCCGCCCCCCTCAGTCATCTGGGAGAAGAGGAACTGGATGTGACAGACTGGGATCTGGCATATTTTTGTTTGGAAATTATCTTCATCACACAAGTTCCAGTTGATCTGCGTTCTACGCCTGTGTTAAAAACGTCATTATGCTTAGGCCAGCACGTAGAGCCCCTCTCCCGAGTATGCATTCCTCTTGTAACCCCCAGAGCCCTGCCATAAGCCTTCAAATTATTCAGTAATTACTGTGCTTCCCCTGGGGTCACATTTGGCAACAAAATACTGGTCTAAATGAACCCACGATATGACCCAGAGAATAACACTTATGTTCTTAACTTCTTAGAAGCAAAAGGATATGAAATACTTCCGAGGTACAAGCTGGGATCAAAGTGAAGGGTTTGCTGTGGGGGTTTGGAGGGTGAGGGGACAGACTGACAAAAGGAATATGAGAACCTGTGAATTACTCCAGTAATGAGGCCCCTAGTCTCCCCCATGAACCTTGTGCATCAGGCCAGTCTCCACTCCAGTCCCAGCTTCCTCCCATTTCAGGAGGGGCTATGGCCACAAGGAAAAACACCAAGCATATGGCTCTGCCCTTCTGGACATTTCTACAGCGTTGGCTGGGCTGGTTTGGAAAATCCCACTTCATCTCCTACAGCTATATGACCTCAAGTTGTCATTTCCAATAAAGTATGCTTCCACTGATTTTTATGAACATAGACAAAAGCGGCTACAATCTTTTTTCTCCCCCTCAAATCTTTCAAACCAACTGTAGTTGCTATGTAGGCTTATTTGTTTCTAAGGCAACAGCGTATATCTAAGTACTAATGGCCTGTCCTTTTGCCAGGCAACAAACAGCCTTGTGATGCAACTGCACCTGTCTCAGCTACGCGTTACTATGGAGACGCTGCAGTTGCCATGGCTACCATCACGCTAATCGCCTAGCAAAGGCAGACATACAGCAGTCTTCTCAGAGAGCCCAGCTGTTCCTCTCCGTCTCTTGCTGAAGACTGATTGTCCAGGGCCTGTGATGGAATGCTTCACCGAGATGCGCAAGAACTTCATCAACGCTGTTTCACAGGACCACTCTGTGCTCCCTCAGTCCAGGGAAAGAGTCTGTAACGACGCTGGCTGTGAAACCACGGCCATCTATGAATTCACGCCGTTCCTCGTGGGTACAATCGTGGAGCCCAAGGCTCACGTCTCCTAACTGGGTGGTGACAAGGGAAACATCTCTACACATTAAAGAAAGAAAAAAAAAACACTCTCTGGGTAGCACTGAGGGACAGACGTCTAACCCAAGCACTACGCAAGAGAAAACCCATTTTAAGAACTGGTTCCATGTTATATGGCTACTTTTATAGACTCTAACGTGAACCAATTTTTTTTTTTTTTAAGTGACAGGTTGCATAACCTCCCCTCCTATTCCATCTCTGTAAAAACGGCATCCGTGACCTCATTGTCTGAAAACAATGGGGCATGCGAGGAGCAGTCCAAGTCTCCATGGTCCTTTGCTGTTTTCCTCGAAGAGGCAAACACCAAGGAACCAAAACAAAACGATCGCCCCGGGGCACCGTCCACATGGAGACGGGGAATGGCAACAACTCAGGGCGCCCTTCCCTCAAACAACTGGAGACGCTCTCTCTCAGAGCAGGGGAAGCCAGACATCGCGTACCCGACTCATTTCTGGGCTCCCATCCCTACAAACCACCACATGCTCTGACGCGGAGGCTGTCAGCTTTCCCGTGCAAATGTGTCTACCCAGGGAGACATTATTTCACCCACCATGGAGCCTTCCAGAAGGAGACGCGTTCCTCCCAAGCAGCAGACGCGGTAAGGTTTGCAGAAAAGACAACGGGTAATGCCACCAAGAATACTTAATTCTTTCTCATTTTCTACAGTTATTTTTAAAGGCATAGAGTCTATTAGTGCCTGTCTCTTCCAAAATAATACAACTTCAGTAGACCAAAAAACAGACAAAAAGGAACTTGAAAACAAAACAAAAGTCTGAATGGCTTACCTTTGATATGCCTGAGGAGAGGCGGGAGGTGTATTGAACACATTCGAGTGTGGGTGATAAGGTGTCTTTTTCAAAGCCTGAATTAGATTTTGTCTATACTCTGGGTCTATGCACCACAATGACCCTTTCCCGATACTCTGCAGAGAAAATAAAAATTAAAAAGTTATTAATACAGAGACAGCAGCTATTGTGCAGGAAGTAGATGTGGGCTGCCCTGGTAGCTCAGACAGTGAGGAATCCGCCTGCACTGTGGGAGGCCAGGGTTCGATCCCTGGGTTGGGAAGATCCCCTGGAGGAGGGCCTGGCAACCCACTCCAGGATTCTTGCCTGGAGAATCCCGTGGACAGAGAAGCCTGGCGGGCTGCAGTCTGCAGGGTTGCAGAGTCAGACACAACTGAGCGACTCAGCACAGCACAAGCAGGTGTATAGCTCTCATCACAGTAACTTATTTTTCTTAAAGCCTCTTACTTCTTTGTTAACTGTCTGCCAACCTTAACTACGGCGCTCTTGACCTTTAAACAGCATGCTGCGCACTTCCGTGTACTCACATTAAGTTTGACAAAATGAATGTTATTTCCAGGTGAGGTTGCTACAACAGTATTGTCATTTTCATATCCTACATACCAAAACCCTCAGTTACGGTATTATTTTTCAGTGTCAACTTTGAAAAACATGTATTCTCTTTAAAAAAGTGAGTTTCAAATTTGTCAGCTATTAAGGGTTGAGAGAAGCAGAGGGTAGAGACACCCTCAAAACTCCATTTCTGCTTTGAAAATTCAAGAGCGAGATTTTTCAAACCATATTACATTGGTGCCACTTTACAAAAACGGAAAAGTAATCCACTTGTTTTTTTCCTGCTTACAAAAGAATTCTGTAATGACTGTCCCCAGGAAACAAAAAAATCTCAGGCGGCAGTGGTCAGTCTTTAGCCAGAATCCACTGTTTATTTTTTTGATCACTCAATTCTGGATCTAGACCTCAATCTTCAGAAGTCATAAACTTTATAAAAATGCAAATCTTATCAAACTGGTTCCATGGAAAGTGGAGGACTCAATCTCAGGCCCACTTTCAGTTGGAGGCTTGTGTTCTGAGCCCAGCATTTTATAAAACACATGGAAGCCTCGCCTCTGAGACCCGCTGGGACTGGCTGCTCCCCTTTCAAGTGACCAAATGTACCCAAGCTGTTTGATAACGTCATGTGTAAATATTTACTGATTTGGAGAGAAAAGAAGTCAAATTATATAAACCCACACCCACCCCACGGTTCCAGCCAATGGACCCTCTAATTTTCACAACTATTGTACTACAGAAAGATCTAGAAAGCAAACAAGAAAATCATTTAGCTATTGGGCAGGAGAAAAAAAAGCCCAAGAAAATCCCTTAGAAGGAGCACTAAATGTAAGTTATTCCCAAAATCTTTATAAAGAACTTTAAAAAATGTGTCGTTCAGTCACCAGTCGACCAAATGGTTTACTTACCAACATATTCACAGAACCCATTCACGTTCTCTATGCTCAACAGCACCAGTGCACTGAGCAAAGCGAGATGCTCAAAGCCTCCGACCACCCCCATCACAGGTGCAGGCCTGACCCCCCCAACACAGTCCCAGTAGGGCCAACCTGCCTGGGCTAAACACCAAAGTTCCCAGTTTAATCAGTCGGATGTTTAAAGACATGAATGATTTCAACTTTGGAAAATTCAGTGTCCTTTACGTGGCCTTTCCCTCCATGCATACATTTTCAAGACCAGAAGAGTTCACTTCTGAGTAATGACACTTCCCGGGTAAATCATCAGGCCACCAAGAGACCAGACCTGGTCCTTCCATCCTGTCCTTGGAAAACAAGCTGTGCAGCGTGGGACTGCTTTCTGATCCCCTTGAAGACAAGGCCCTGGGCCTCTGGATGGAGGGCCAGCGCCCATGTGCAACCCAGACATTTCCGCAGGGAGATTATCTCGGTTCTGGGAACCACATGGGAGCTTTTGTTTTCATCAAGGTGGTTTTCAGGGTGGAGCCGTTTAGTCTTACAGGGACTAGAAATATGACAAAGAAATGAAGGGAAATAACAATGAGCCAAGAATGCGGTTTCTCCCGACCCTTGGTATCTTGTGGATTATACCACACTATTATTTACCAAAAGAAAACGGGAAAAACACCGCAGGACTGGGGTGGGAGAGGCGATCCACAAGGTAAGCCATCCAGGTACCAGAGGCCGGAGGAGCTTTAGTGAGAACATAGTCCTAAGGCCAGAGGCTTCCTGCGTGTCCTTGGGCAAATAAAGGTCCCCGAGAAAGTCCTGGCTTTCTCACTGGCAAAATAAAGACCGCCCCCTCCCCCAGAGACTGCTGTGGGGCCTAGAAGGGCAGACAGGAAACTGGAACAGTGGAGAAGGTAAAGGCACTCAGTAAACAGTGGAGGGGGTCAAGGACAATCCTGTTTGAACAGAAGCACAGAGGTGAAGCCGGCCGGGCAATGCTTTCCGTATCTGATACTCCCAACATGAAAGCAGCACCCGGTTCCAGCGGAGGCCGCGGATGGGGCGCGGGTAAACGGACCCGGCCCACGACGGACAAGCAGCAGCCTGCCCCCGACGCCTTTGCACGGGTTCAGCAAGGGCCCTCTGGAGAGCTTTCCCACTTTCCGAGGCCTCCTTCATTCCATCACCCCTCACTCCATGTTACTTGTCTCCTGGCCCTGGAGGCCAGTTCTGACCCCCTGCTAGAAGTCTCCTTCTGCCCAGGTCTCTGCACGATGATCGTCAGGCTGAGGTTCACCTCCAAGCGTGGTCAGCATGTGCTCACAGCATCCGTTCGCTGCAGGCCTCCTCCTGGGGCCATCATGGTCCCTACCTTGATCAGTTCTGAATTTTACAGTGAGTGCGCCCGGGAACAGGGATAGATCTCCACAGACCAGACGCTAATTTCAGCATCTTATATGCAGAATTTTCAGAGAGGAAAGAAATGAGCCTAAAAAGCGTCTTCAGGATACACCCACGGGGATGCCCAGGATCCCTCTAACCTCTCCAGTGCTTTTCCACCAGAGAGAGAGCTGCAGGCAGAGCTAGGCAGGAGCGGGGGAGACTGGCCCCGTGTCTGATTTGCAAGCATTCTCCTTGGTCTCATGTAACAGCTCAGAATAGTAAGAAGGTTGACTTAAAAACTTTTAACATGGAAACATGCAGAGCAGAGAATGCTCAAGTTTATTAAGCCAGGAAAAATTACATTTAATACCCCTCACAGGAGAGAAAAGGATGTAATTTGATTAGAGTTGTGTAATAAGTTTGAGGGTCAGAGTTTTTAGAATTATATGCATCTCATCTAAAGTTCCAATATGGATTTTTTTATCATAATAACAGAGGACCATGCACCATTAAATGTTAAGGAATTCAAAACAATAAGGGAAGAAAGATCTCTATCCATAGATCCATTTACCTCTTTAAAAATATTTATATATATTTATAAATATATTTATATTTACAGCGGTAAAGAATCTGCCTGCCAGTGCAGCAGATGCTAGGGACATGGGATCAATCCCTGGGTTGGGAAGATCCCCTAGAGTAGGAAATGGCAACCCACTCCAGGATTCCTGTCTGGAGAATTCCATGGATAGAGGAGCCTGGCAGGCTACAGACCATGGGGTCGCACAGAGTTGGATACAATTGAGCGAAGTAGCAGCAACATATTTATATTGATATTAATATAAATATTATAAATATAACATAAATATATGTAAAACATTTATATATGATGTATGTTTCATATAAAATACATATTTAAGACAAAAAAAAGTCTGTCAAGGAAGAGCTTTCTTATGCACACAAACACATACATAGTTTGAGAAAACTAATGTGCAAAGTAAAAGAAAAAAGGAATGAAAACATACGGATGAAGCCAAGTTGGTTTAATTAAAAAGCACCTGGAGAATTAGCAGACAATCCCCTGTTAGCAATAAAAACATCAGTACATAACAGGAAAGGTAGACCAGGAGAACCTATATTGCAGAAAGAACTGATTAGTGAGAAAGGCTAAAAACAAGAGAGAAAGAGAAGAAAAACATCAATTAAATCTTCAACCCGACTTCGAGAGATGACCTGTTTTTCCCTGAGAGGTCAGGGCCTGGCACCGCCCCCGGCAGCCCACGAGTGTCTCACGTGTCCCCGTGTCCCCGTGTCCCGCAGCTCAGCAGGCCTGCACGGGCCAGCCTGCCCAGCATCGGGCCTTCAGCGGGGGTCTCTTCGCTGGGCTGTGTGTTGGTAAGGTAAGGACTGTACTTTGAACGCAGTTTACAAACCGTGGGCCACGCGACATTGATGGGGCACGCAGGTACTATAACTGGGCTTCCCAGGTGGCACTAGCGGTAAGGAATCCGCCTGCCAATCCAGACGCGGGTTCGATCCCTGGGTCGGGAAGATGCCCTGGAGGAGGGCATGGCAGCCCACTCCAGCATTCTTGCCTGGAGAACCCCATGGACAGAGGAGCCTGGTGGTCTACAGTCCATGGGGTTGCAAAGAGTCGGACACAACAGAAGCGACTTAGCACGCACGCTTACTGGGCTCTGGGTCCAAAGAGGGTGGGAAACGTTCTAGAACAAGGGTTCTCATCACTTCTGAGGGAGAAAGCCCTCTTGCAGCAGTTCTTGAGGACTCCACACACGTGGCACCCAATATGCAGGCAGAAGGGGCCATGCTGGGGATGGGGCCAATGGGGCAAGACCCACAGGGCAAGATTCACCGCTTGTGGTGAATCTGAAACAGTACCCTTTTCTAAACTTTTAGTTTTCTATCGGAGCACAGCTGATGGACGATGCTTGCAGCTCAGTCATACCTCTGCAAGCGTCTTTGTGAGATTCCTTTCGCAGTCAGACGGTTAGATGATTCGGAGCAGAGTTCCCGGCACTGTACGCTAGCTCCTTCTTGGTCACCCATTTAAACTCATCAGTGTGTGCAGGTCGGGCCCAAACAACCCCGTTGCACGTTCCTGAAATGCCAATTCCGTGGGTGTTCCCCGCGGCGCCCACGGCCCTCCGCTCCCTCACCCGTATGGTACCCACCACGTGCCAGGCACCATGGGGTACCTTACCGAAGACAAGACAACACAGAAAGACCACTGCTCCCTCAAAGCGGGGGTCCTGGAGGGGGCA